TCGAAGACCGCTGGAGTTGTGTGCAAGTCTTCCCCAGTTGGAAAGAATTAATGCCGACGCCACTGATGCTGACGGCACGATCTCAGAAAAATGTACTTCAACTGATGAGCCAACTGGGAAACATAGAGGACGAGTCGAGTGCTTGCGTTTGGGACACTGAGGCCTTCACCCTGCTTTGCAGCATTACTCAGTCCCTACAGGGCCGTTGGATAAACCTAGTGACTTTGGATCTCAGCAAACTGGTGATGCCCCTCAAGGATCTACTCCAGCTCTTTCGCATTCCAACCCCCGATGGCGGAGGCTCCCCCTTCTTCTGCCTCCGCCAGCTCTCTGCTGTCTTCACCCAAGTCAGTTTTCCCACAGGAACTGGGGAATCGAAGGTGGACACTGCAACCGAAGTCCAACCGCCTCCGGTTCTTGACTCAGCGGAACTCTGCTCCGTGCCCAATGTGCAGATGAACTGCACTTACCTGGGCGAGTTGATGCACCTAGTTAGCCATGTCAGCCGTCTTACACTACGTGATCGGGACAGCTACGTGGCGCACCCCAACGATTCTTGGTACACCTGGTACTGCCGGGGAAAATTCCCTACCGTCTATCCTAATCTCACCGACCTCAAGGTGACTGTCTTTTCGGAGTTCCTCTCAGTTCTGACCCGGGCCAGGCCCGAAGGTCTATCCGCCTGGTTTCCCCTCCTCAAGACACTCAATTTGCATGCACATGGAAATTACATTTGTCGGAGGGATCTGGAGAAGTACAGGGAAGCCTTAAAGGACATTGATGTGGTTGTAGATAAGAATGTGGTAAGTAATGGTTATATGAATTACTGCAATTTTTCCCCTGGAGCTATTGCTAAAAAAATACCTAAAATAGGTCGAAGAGGCGCTTAGTTCAGTGTTAACGACAAATCTGCGTTGTTTTTAAAATGGTATGGATTTAGAGGTGAAACATTGCGTTGTAATTGACATTTTTAGCTTTACTCTCCTTTACAATGCTTCGTTTTAAGCCGCTAAACAACTTGACTGTCGTTTTTTTCAAATAGCCCTGACTCTTCGCGGAGAGCGGGGTGGGTGACCAAATTATCTACTAATACTCACATCGGTTACGTTTAATTACAGTTCAAAAACTATGCTTATCAATGAGCTCTAATCTGGATTCAGGGAGTTACGGGCCTACATTGTTTAACTTTAGCTCAGGACTCGTTAGGTTCGCTTGCAGTGCCAGGTCAGCGCCTAGATTTCTGCGCTTACAGTGTATGAAGTCAAACGCTTTTTCTTCTACTTTGACCATCTTTCTCGATTTCATTAGAATTTACCTTCGCTCAGCGGACAAGGCCGCGCCCAATAAAGCTGAAACATTCCATAGAACCCAATTTTTTGTCTGCAACATGTCAGTAACTCATGTTACGGATGTCAGCAAATAACAAAAACACAACAGCTTGTGTCGATTGTTTAGCTTTTGGTGATTCGGTGCTAGTTTATTCACCAGAATAGACGCACCCGCTGTCAAAAGCTACGTCAGAAGGCATTCGTAATAACTCGGATATTCTTTGTGGTTCTATAGAAATAAACGGTAGGATTAACAGAGCCCGATAGATAAAAAAACGAGGATGAGCATACAGTTGTAGTGATTAGGCGAGCGGTCGTGCCACTGACGCAGATGCGTGCCAGTTTATAAGCGAATTAGGACAAAGAAACAGAGAACGAGGGGAACCAACCAATGCGAAGGCAGCAAACGAGGTCAAGGGGCACAGGACATGAGGAATCGATGGAGGACTAAGCGGGCGTAAGGGCACATGCTTCGGCTAAGTCGGGTTACAAGTACGCAGTAACAAATACGACATTGACGTGCTGAAGGTCACACATTCTTCTTGCATTTACAAAGGCGTAGGAATTCTTAAATACAGTTCGAGTTGGCATGTAATGACAAGGCATCCTTCGTCCTTCCGGATGAAATGTTCATAAAAATGTCGGTAAAGGTTGGACCGAGTAGACTTCCCATTGCTACTCTGTCTATTTTTCTGTCTGGTAAACAGGAATTGGACACTATTCATGCATACTTTCGAAAATTAATGTAACACTTCAAGGAATAGTCTGCCTGTTTGTCTTCAGGCAAGGAGATAATATTGAACTGCGAGAACTACTGCCGCGAAAGACCCCTTAGCGTTGCCGCAAACGTCATTGTCATTCTCAGGCGTATTTTTGGCACGTTCTTTGTTGTCCGCTCAATGAACTGAATGCTACTTCCCTTGATCCGGCCTTGCTGGAATCCCGAACGCCTGTAAAAGGGGGTCGACTCATAAATTTGTTCAGCGGAGTTAGTTCTTGAGCCTTCGGTATCGGATCTCCATTTCTGC